ATATATAAATATATATTTAAGAGGGACTTTTGACATTATATTGGGATAGGGAAGGCAATGATACTGTTTAAGACATGACAAGTTTTAAGTGACATATACTCGTTTTTGTAGCTTGAAAGAGCAAAAGTTAACGTTCTACTATAGACTCATCGGTCAGCTGCAATGTGATATTGAAAAACAAAGGAAAATATCCATGATTCCCCAAAGTGCCTCATTGAGAGCTGAAGCTGCTCCATGTCTGGGCTAAGGGGTCATTTACTGGTTTCATGCCTAGAGAAACAGAAAAAAATTTGGTTCACAGAGTGAGATCAATGAAGCAGGTATCTAGGGCAGCACACAGATAAAGAGTTAGTTTCATGAACTCTCCAAGCCAATGTGAAGGGCAGTTTTGTGGTTCTCCTACCTAAACTCTTGCTTACTTAGCTTTTCAAGGGAAAATGATAATTTCTCTAAATGGACCCACTAGATAAGTGTCAGAAATAAAAAGCCTGAAAAGCCTTTACGGAAAGAGGCAGAAAGCACAAAATTATATTTTGGCTCTGTCCAGAGCCTCTTTATAAGGTACTTCTGCAAGACTGTAATTACAGCAGGGTTTACCCTGAGTTGCAGTGAATCACTGAAAAAAGCAATTATTGCCAGCAATCCTTGTTCTGTGGCTGAAAGTTGAGTGGGAAATTTAATAGTATTATGAGAATTTTTTTCCTAACAAACTAGTTCTAAGAAATGGTATAAATTGAATGTGTATTTATTTTTTAAGACAAGGTTATCTTAATTGAGTTTTTCATGACTGTGTTCCACTGGTTACGTAGGAAATGAAAATGTGAGAGAGGTGTGCAGGGAAGCAAGCACTTACCGTGTAAGAGAAAATGTTGTCCTCTTTGCTTTGCCTCGGCCTTTTCCTCGCATCCTTTGAGATGCCATGTAACATTCAGGACTAGACGCTGCCCAGAGGGTTGCCTAGGCTCTGTTATTGACTGGCACCAGGATAGTTACAAAGTTCAGAATAACGAACAGAGAGCACTATGGAAACTAATGTCTCCAGCCAGTGTGACTTCGGATGCAGAAGTCAATCTCTCACCATATTGATAACATCTGAAAAAGCAACTGAGACTACCTGTGGGAATACCATTTCTCAATTAAGAACTGTATGCAATAACAGTAAAGTATTGATTACCTTATTCAGTTAACACTTACAGCATTGCCAGTGCCTTGCTGAATCCAAAGATGAGGAAAATCGTGGTAAGGGTAATTAGGGTGTTCAAAGCCGTACCATTAATAGATGACAGCATAGGTATCCAACAAGGGCTTGTTCTACTGTGAAACCTGCTATATTAACCACTTTCTTGCCTGTTGGCTTTACAGTAGTAATTGAGTATTAATATGATACTTTACTGAGACAAGTTGTTTGTGGATACAATAAATGTCTGAATATTTATGAAGGCAATGTTTTAATTAAGAAACTATTAATAATGATATACAAGTTCTTTTATAGTCATTTCCCCTTAACAGTGCTCAGTGAATTATTAATTTGGATTGAACTTTTCCAATGGTTAGAAAAATCTAATATTTTACACGAATGTTCAGTGGTACTATGGAAAATTCAAAGGGATCTTTCAGGACTCCTTCATTTAGAAGTCACAGAAACACATTTGTAACCATTTTAATGAAAAAAGAAATTACCTGGAAAGATACTGGTTTGACTTATATAATTGTAGGATGAGCTACAAGACCCAATAAATTCTGAAAGTTGTACGTTGGCCTTTCTTTGTCTCTTCTTCCTTGACTTTTTCTTGCTCCAAAATGTAAGTTAGCTGTCAAAGAGCACTGAGATTTATCCTTGAAGTTCCAAGTCTCTTCTCAATACTTGTAGTAGAAAAATCCCAAGTAAAGACACAGATTGGCCCTGAAATAATCCCAGAGGAAAAACATAATCCCAGAGGGTTAGCCTTGGACTTACTCATTTTGCAGTGGTCAAAAGAGGTGATTTATAATTACAAGAACACAAAGGGCCTACTATACTCTGTCCAATCCAGTCTTTAATATCATATTTACAAAAAATTTAGCAGACATGAAATTCCAAAGATACTCTCACCTGATAAAATGTGTGGTGTATGGAGAAAGTTATTGCTTCTAAAATCATGTCCACATGTTACATTTATCAAAATCCAGGATTTTAACTGTTATGTTTTCCTCTCTCTGAAATCTAATTGGGGCTCAGAAAGGTTCTGCAAATTTTGGACCAATGATAAATATAGCGATCTCCTTTTTATAAAAATAGTTCTGAGATAAAATATTAGTTATCATAAATATCCTGTGGAGAAAGGGACAAGGAAAGAGTGATATACAGTGGCCCTCGCCAGACACACAGTACTACAGTGAGTAGGGATAGAAACGTGCTTCCATTTGTTATCTTTTCGTTAACAGTGTTCCTTGTTCAACCAATATGTCTGGCACAGACTGCTTGGGGTGATTCCCTTATGTGGTATCATCCTGGACCCTTCCTTAGAAGTACAGTGTAGTAAGAAGAAATCCTATGCTGTAGCTTAATCTTTATTTAATGTGCTTGAATGACCCTGGGGATTGCCTTCAGGAATGCACAATCCAGTGGTTTTTATGATGTTTAGAATTTCCCTAGCCATAAATATTTTTTAAATACCTGTCAGCTAACTGACAGTTTCATTTTCTACAGACTGCAGGACTGATGCCTGAAAGGATGTCTGATCATTATCTTTGAATCAGGACCCTGCCTTCTTGATGGCTTATCAATAGGCCTGGCATTCCATCCATCCTCCTTGGTCCCAGATGAATGGCTTCTGTCTGGACTCTTGCCTTAGTGGAAAGTGGAGGGCAAGACAGGATGATAAGGCAAGGGTAATCCTCTTCCAGCCCAGAGTCCATCCAAGTTGCTGAGGCTGTAGGAGAATGCTTATCTGTGTTAAATGGGAGAGAATCGAATCTTCCTCCATATTTCTTACTACTCAGCCTTTGCTCAGACTAATTTTATCATGGGATAGAAAACTTAATTTTACAATTCTATACATCACTTTACTGTCTGACCTTTATGGGCTGGCATTGCTGAAACTGTCTACAAAGTACTTTTATATAAAGGCACATACAGTTTTCTTTTTGCTTTCAGATACATCAGTTTGTCTGCTTGTTGTAGAAGCTTACTGGAGACTAAAGAACTGAGCTTATGATACAGTGCCTCCTGTTTTCCCGGCAAGTACCTGATGTCATGGTTTTCTTGAGCTCAAAGTTGAAGACCCACGGTGATAGAAGAAAACTATGACCAGATGCTCTATCATCTTTCAATAAAACGTATCCAGAAAACTTGCTGAGGATGCTGGTGAAGGAAGACATCGGTGATTAAAGTTCTTCTCTCTCATCTGGACAAAACCAGCTCCACCTTTAACTTCTCAAAACTTGAGTCCTCACTTCTAGTATCAATTCTCATTATTCATAAGGGGGTTTAGTTTTCAGTTTGAAATGTCAAAAGCCCAACTAGATCTAACTTAAGGAAATGAACACTATTATTTTAAGAGTACTGAATAGAGAAATCTAGCGATGTTACAGACAGGAATGAGGGATGTGGTGTGATACTACTGGATCTCTTTTTGACTGTTTCTTCACTAGCTTTCCCTACAGATCATCTTATCCTCATGTGTTTATTTGTGTGTTAACAAATGTGCTGTTTGGTGGAGTTATATTCTTATAACTTTTTACTCCTAAGTGGAGAAGGACATTTCTTTGTTGGTAGATCTAGGGTTAAATTCTAAAATAGGGCTTCTAGATTGTATAAGTTGGGTTAGGTGGACACTCTGAAATCAACTGTGTGACCTAAGGGATGATTTACTGTGACTGACCAGGTCTCAGTCACAAATTCATTCTTGCTATCAACTGGTAGGGTCTGTGCCCAGGAGAGGAAGAAGGGTGTTAAGCAAATGAAAACAACAAGAGAAATAATTGTTATGCACTGTCATGGTTATTGCAATTCAAGCAGGTAGAGCCTGCTGTAGGAGGAGAGAGGAGAGGATGGGGGAAACCATCTTGTGCATCTTACTAGACTAAAAAATGTTTAAGGTCAGAGACTGGGCCCTATTTGTCTTTGTACTCACATAACTTAGCACAGGAATTTTTAAGAGGGTAGACATTTACAAAATGTTTATATCTAGAAAGAAAAAGCAGAAAGAAAACAAGAAATGAGATTCCATTCTGGGAATGGTTTAGCTTCCTTAAGGAAGGCTTACTCTGGGACAGGGGATGGATATTGGGATGAGGTCTGAGTGTTGGTCAGCAGAATCTGGAGTTGGAGGGGGAAAGGGAAACACATCATGCATTTCAAATCCCAGAGTTGTAATCATTTCCTTTACTGTCAGGTGTGCCAGCAACTGCCTTTCAGCTGCCAGTTAGACCTTGGCATACCATACATAAAATCCTCTCTGAAATCTTGCAGCACACTCTTAGTTTGACAAATTCAAAATTCATCTTTTTTTTACAGTTGCTACTGTGTCAAAGTAATTTAAAAATTGAAGAGCCACCTGGCAGACCTACTCCAGAGAGTAGGTCTGGCCTCATAATTTAGTTTTTCCAAATTTCATGACATGCTGATTGGGCCAGTGTTGGAACAGGTAAAGCCAGAACCATGGTAGGCACTGGGCAGAATCACTGTCAAGCTTTGGAAAGGAAGTGGTGTCTTATTCATAAACAGTGAATTAAATAGTAAGTGTAAAGTGAGACCACCAGTCTTTCCATGAAAGAGGTTAACTGGTTTTACATCCTATAGCAGGAACAACTGGAAAGGGATGGAGAGAAATACCTGGCTTCACACATGCTCCTGCTATTTATCTCTTCATTCAAATCCATTGAAGGATATTCCAATACACCTGATTTTTTCCAACCAAAGGAGGTATAACATCTTTTTAGCAGGGACCATGGGATGTAAGCATTGTATTCTTGGTGTTGTCATAGAGTAAGAGGTAAAAAAATAACAAAAAAAAGTTACAGCAAAAAACTAAAACGTCAGTAGGAAAATAGACATAAATCTTGGTGCTATAAACACGGTGATGAAGAAAACTAATTTTCCAACCTCCTGAATTTGTTCCAGAGACAGGAAGCGAGTGCCTGTCCAAGCTCTTCAGAGTGGGGCTGCAGGTGGAGGGAGTTGGTGCTTAGGATGCTGCAGTTGCAGACCAGGAAGCCTGTGCACGTGCATGGGATTGACAAAGACCTCATAAAGGAAGTGGCATTTGGGCAATTCCAAATAATGTCCTCTTCATGGTAGATTGTAGTAGTCAGCTTTCCTGTCACTGCAACAAAATACCTGACACCTACAAATTAAAGGAGGAAAGGTTTAATTTAGTTCCTGGTTCAGCCTAAGTGGCTCCAAGGCAAAAACATGATGGCAGAAGGGCATAACAGAATGAAGATACTCAGTTCATGGCAGGCAGGAAGCAGAGGAGGGGCAGAGCATCGGACAGGAAGGGACATGGGACAATATATAGTACCAAAGGTGACTCCTCTATGACCCGCCCAGACACACCCAAAAGAGTGCTGCAGTGATTCCTTTGGCAGATCCCAAGCCAATCAAGTTGACACACATGGACATTCAATGTGTATTTGTTGACTGAATAAATGAGCATTGAAAAATGTGTATACATTTGTCAAGAGAAGAACTGGACAAAGAAAAAGCATTCTGGGTGAAAGGAAATGGGAGCTACAAAGACCTAGAGGCATAGAAGTGCCCTGTATGACTGGAAAGTGGCTGACAGTATGATCTTGGGTAAATGTTTGGCTTCCTCTGGATAGCAGTGTTTCTTCATAAAGCTGCTGATATCTATCAGGAGGTATGACTGACTTATAACTGAAAAACACAAGGATGTAGCCAAATGCCTGGTAGTTCATTGAACGTTATTATTACTTTTTTTCTCCACTTTAATTATTTTGTGCCACTGCTACTACTGATTTTGGGCTGTTAGGTTGAGAGGGTTGCAATAATTCATACAGGGTCACGCTGCCTGGAGGGAATGACCCAGAGATTGAAAGGCTACTCTGTCTGTCAACCAGTGGTTTAGCTGGATACCATTTTCCCAGTGCAGTTGGAAGCCTGTGGTAGGGGGACAGAAACCATCTTGGGTGCTCTGCAGAAGAGACACCCAACTCTGCCACCTGGGTGCAGGACTCAGAATGCACTGCCTTTCAAATTGCTTCGGAATTTTTCAAAAGACATGGCTGAGATAAAATGCTGTTGAAATTCATGGCAACAGGATATCAACTGTTTTCCTTGGAGCCGCAGCAGCCTCACTTTCTCCACTTAGCTTCTAATCCATTATTAAAAGCAAACAAGTGTGTTGACCGTTCTGCATGAGCTTTCTCAAGCAGCAAAGGAAACCAGGTTATCCATTCCTTCTGCACTGCTGCAGCCACCTGGGCACCGGGGAAGAAACTGGGACTTTTCTCATAAAAGTCGTGTTTGCTTACACGCCGAGGCCCTCCAGCCCCATTTCCTGTAGAGCGACACCCCAGCTCTCAGCAGCAGCTCTGGGAAGGGAAAGTGGCAGGGCTTATGCCGGCGCATTCCAGTCTCTGCTTCACCCTGGAGGTCCCCGATCTTCTAGGCCAGTGCACAGGAGGGATCTCTCTTGGCACTTAGTAAAGACCACACCCAGCAGGAATGAGGCACCGAGGAGTCTTGTCCCATCTGAAGCCACTTCATAAAATCATGCCGAGGTAGACCTGGAGCCAAAAGGAAAACGTAAGAGAGTGGGTGTTGGGAGAAGGACTCAGAAGGGGTGTTGGAGATATCACTGCATTAGCCTAACATTAATCACCAGCGGATTTCTTCCTTCTCCTCCTCTCTTTGTTCCGCAGCTCTGTGGCATCACCACAGTCATCATTCATCGACCTGCTTGGCATTGCCTGTCATCATGGGAAGAGGCATCTGCTTTAATAATCAACCCACTGGATCTCCAGCTCCTGGAGCGCAAATGCCAATGCCTATTTATTATCTGTGTACACCTTGCACATAGGTCAGAAATGAACCTTGTTATTAATTAAGTTTATTGGTACTTTCAAGTATGCATAATATTCACTTTCATCATAGGGACTTTGTACCTATACATGACTTACTTCAATTCCACTTCCTTTTTTTTCTCATTCCTTTATTCTCCCTTCAGTCCCTCTTGCCCTCCTCATTTACAAAGGCTTTGTGTGGTGGATTGATAACTGGTGGTCAGCTTGTAACCCCAAGCTGAACTGAGTAAGCATGGTGCTGGGTGTGGGAGGCGCAAGTGAAGACTGTAGCTAGCAGCATAAGAGGCAGAACTGGAGAAAAAGTTGGGACGTTGTTGGGAGCTGAGAGAAGCTGCTGGGTGCCATTAGAAGCTGGAAGGAGCTGTTGGTTCTCTTGGAGGAGCTCATCATGCTGGCTTTCCTGATGAACTTGGCTGTTCTCATCCTCCAAGGATCTTGGGACCTTCTCACTGAGAATGACTTCAGTTCACTTTGGTGGAACTCTAGTCCTTACTTTGAGCATTGTGTCCTGGCTCCAGAGGAGAAGATGGTGCACTGCTCAGTCTTCCAGAAAAGCTTGTCACCTTGGCTTTCCCGATGGGAACTTGGCCGTTCTCATTGTTGGAGAAGCTTGGGACCTCACTGTTGCTGAGGATGGCTGTGGTACAGTTTGGGTGAGCTCTGTTTCTTATTTTGAGCATCTCTTCCTGGCTCCAGTGTAAATTCCTCAGCCTGCTAGCACAGATCCTTTCCCCTGCTGGGACAAATGTTCTAGATTCTACCACTGACCACTGACCACTGACCACTGACCTTTGGGTCTTTCCACCACAGATTAATTCTTTTGGGCCTGCATCAATAAAACAAAAAAACAACAACAAAAAACCATTGAAGCCAAGTGTAGTGGTGCACACCTGTAATGCCAGCACTCAGGAGGCTCAGGCAGGAGGATTGTTCCAAGTTTGAGACCAGCCAGGGCTACAAAGTGAGCTCAAAGTCAGCCTGAACTGCATAGTGAGACTCTGTCTCCAAAAGACAAAAAAAGAAAGAAAGAAAGAAACAGGCCTGCATGAGACACTGTCATGGGCTCTAGGCCTCCAGTTGGATTCTTGGGAGGTATTATGGGCTCGAGGTCTTCAGCTGGAGTCATGCAGGACATTTACATGGGATCCAGGCACTCTGCTAGATTCTTTGGTATTTAGTGTGTGGACAGATTTCCTGCACTATTTGTATATGATTCTTTTGGTGACTATCATCAATAATCTTATAAAATATGTACCCTATATTATATTGTTTTCCTAGCAAAACCCCAGACTATGACACTTTGTTTCCATTTCTCTCTCTTTCCTTTCTTTACTTTTCCTTTCCTTCCTTTCCCCCTCTCCCTCCTTTGTTCCCCTTCCCAACAGAGTGTTTCCTTCCTATTTTATAATATCTAGTATACATTCTGGTCCTTATATACACTTTCAGTTTCCCACATCAGAGAAATAATGTGATATTTACACATGTGTGTTCAATTTATTTCCCTTAGTAGTATGGTCTCGAGGTCCATCCATTTAACTATAAATGTATCAAGTTTATCCTTCTTTATGGGTGAGTAGTATTCCATTGTATAAAAGAACACATTTTATTTATCCATTCATTGGTTGGTGGGCATTTGGGCTGTTTCCTAGATTTAGTTATTACAAAATGTGCTGCTATAACCATGCATGTACATACATTGCTGTGGTATGATGCTTTTAATTCTTTTGGGAAGATAGCAAGAAAGGGAATATCTGGGTCAAATGGAACCTCTAGTTTTAGTTTTTAAAAGAATTTTCACACTGTTTTCCACAGTGATTGCACCAGTCTACACTCCCACAACAGTGGAGAAGTGTTCCTTGTTCCTCATATCCCCACCAGCATTTGATATTGGTTGATTTCTTGATAATTGTCATTCTTTCTGGAATGAGATGGAATTTCAGTGTTGTTTTAATTTGCATTCCAAAATTGTTATACAGATTTTATGCAACCCTGATCAAAATACCAGTAGCATCTTCCAGAATTAGAGGAAACAATCCTAAAACTTATTTGGAACCAGAAGAGAGCTGGAAGAGCAAAAACAATTCTGGGCAACAAAGGCAAGTCAGGAAACATCATAATCTGTGACTTTAAATCATACTACAAAGCTACTGTGATAAAAACAGTATGGTACTGGCAAACAACAACAAACAGACCTGAGATCAGTGGAACAGATTAGAAGATGTAGAAACAACTCCAAACACACTCAGCCATCTTGTCTTTGATAAAGGGGCCAAAACTCTCACTGGAAGAAAGATAGTCTCTTTAATAAATGGCACTGGAAAAACTGGCTTTCACATGCCAAAGACAAAACTAGACCCATATCTAGCAACATACACTAAACTAAAATCAAAATGGATCAAATATATAAATACTAAAACTGAAACACTAAATCTGCTGGCAAAGAGAATAGGTACAACTCTTGAAGACATAGGTGTAGGAAAAACTTCATAAATAAAACCCAGACCATGAAGGAACTCCTAGAAAGAATCAACAAATGGGATTCCATCTTATTACAAAAGCTTTTGCACAGAAAAAGAAATCATCGACAGAGTGAAGAAACAATGCACTGAGTGAGAAAAAAATTTGTCAGCTGTTCCTCAGACAAGGAACTAATATCTAGAATATGTAAAGAACTAAAAAAAAATCTGACTTCCAGAATTTAAAGACCTTATCCAAATTGGGCATCTAAAATGAATAGCTATTTCTCAGATGAAGAAGTAGAAATGGCAAATAAACACATGAAAAATGTTCAACATCACTGGTCCTTTGAGAGAAGTAATTTTTTTATTTTAAAGAGAGAAAAAAATAAAAATGATATAGAATTTCAAAACAAGATAATAGAAAATTAACGTTTATTTTATTGCATATTGTTATCTTCAAAGTAGTTGCACAGATTACAAGATATAGGCATGCAAAACTGATCAAACAATATAAGTATTAACTGTTATGTGAATTATCAAATGGACTTTTAAAAGTTGATGTGATTAAAACAATGTCTGAATGATCCTCAGTAAACTGGTCTTTGTGTCAGAACTGATAATATCCCCATGGAGAAACAGACTTGGTCCAGATAATCCTTGGAGTAGGGTAATCCTCCCTCAAATCTAGTTTTTCCTTGTCACTCCTCTGACTTTGAGTAAATTATCTATCTTCTTCTTTTTTAAAATATGGAGCTGATGTGATGACTGCATGAAGTAATCTGTCTCTGGCATGTAGAGGTTACTCCATCCAAATAATTTCCTGTAGCTGGGCATAATGACAAAGTCTACTTAACTGATAGTTCACCTGTAGTCCTTTCTGCAGGTGCTGCCAGAGAGCTTAGGTCTGAATCCTACATCTCATTGGCCTCTGGTTCTAATGCTACTCCTACACTTGTTAGTGTTCATTTTCTTCTTCTATAATAGACTTTAAGAAGCTGACATGTTTACTGTAAGCAGCTTCATATTGCTTTTGAAAATGACCATTTGCATGGAATAATTTGTGAATGGAACCGCAGGCTCATGATTACTAGTTAATCCCTATTATTAGTTGATCCCTAGTTTGATATTGTATAACACTCAAGCCTAAGTGTTGTTGTTCATTTGTTTCAGTAAAGGGAATAGTTGGCCGGGAATAGAGTCTGTGAGGGGCTGGGCTCCTCTTCCTGTCACCTGGTAGGTAGCAGGTCTGGCAAAGCCCACAGCATGAGCTGGACAGTATGATTCTGAGCCTTTGCAGCAAGTGGTCTCGAATAGCAAGACGACTCTTCAGCCAAGTCTCATTTGGCGGGATTCACTCTCCCATTTTTCTTAATCTTCATTTCCTCTAGCTGCTGTTTATGAAGCAACTTTAGCTTCAACCTTGGCTCTTTGCACACTCCTGCAACACAGCAATGGATTTTGGCTTGGCCTTGAACTATAGTTTTACTTGTTGGATCAGAATTCAGAGTTGGCCTCTGGGGTGGACCCTGGCAAGCAGTATTATTGCCTCCTTCCCCAATCTCATTGTAGAGAAAATAAATATTAACCACTAATCCTCAGAGCACTTACAGAAGCAAAGAGGAGACAGATAGAACAAAGAAATCCACTGCGATGATCCAGTCACACAGTCCCAAGTGTCCCAAGATTACAGAGATAGTGGCAGCTTCATTCCTTTCTGATGGCAGAAAGCCAAGGCACTATGGAAGGAAACAAGGAACAGGAAAAGAGGAAGGTCTCTGGGACCAAACCAGACAAACTCAGATCCAGTTCATAAGGAAAAGGGATGCTCTGTGGTACAGAAATTCATATCAGATGCAGAAATACAGCATGAAGACTGAATCCTACAGGCACACTGTTCACCACGTTAGGCTGGACCTTGACTGTTGAGCACCCCACTTTGACCAATCTGTAGAGGACAATATTCCTGTGTTGCTGCCCGGCAGGCAGCACACCTGTCTTCAGCATCAGACTATACGTTAGAGAGCCTTCAGGCCTCTAGTTTGGTGAGGAAGCATGTGACCACGAAGTCTGTCCCCTTTTTCTTGTCAGAAATGCTTTTACTTAGAGGCATGTATTTGTGTCCAAGAAATCAAAATTGGAAGCATTTTAGATCATTTTTCTTTTGGAGTAGTTGAAATTATGGTGTTTTTTGTTCCTGTTTTTGTTTTTGTTTTTTCCTTCAGGGCTAGAGATTGAACACAATCCCTAGGGCTTTGTCCATGCAAGGCAATTGCTCTATCACTGAGCTCCATCCCTAGCCCCAGTTCAGATTATGAATCACTATATATACAAGGGTAACACCAAAATTTCCTTTTGTTTAACAGATATTTCCCCTGCAGTTACATATCAACATAATGAGAGGAATTTTTCAGTAACCATATTTTTTTTTTTTTCCCCTCCGGTACTGGGAACCGAACTCACGACCTCGCGCTTGCCAGGCAGGCGCTTTGCCGCTGAGCTAAATCCCCAGCCCCAGTAACCATATTTCTGATGCAGCAAAATACTTGTTAATATTTTTCAGTGTGACACCCCTCCCCATTACAGTGTGGATTCCCCTTATGATGTTGCCCCATTTAAATAAGAGTTTGTATCTCTTTGCTCAA